AATTAAAGTGCATTTGTCAAGTCAGCACCACCTACAATTAAGAGAAAGGCGGAAAGCCTCCATCCTATTCTGATGCAACTAATACACAAGTTACACCAAAGAGGTAGAAAAGGTCACATCCCTACTGAGCCTGTGGTCCTGAAGCACACGGTAGCCTGGGGAAAAAGAGCTGTAACTCTGAAGTGCAGCACTAACAGGTGCTTTGTAATATATTTTAAGACATTGAAATGATTTATGAGTTACAAGATCAAAGCATCAATCAAAGCAACCGGAACACGAGCAGAGAGCTGAGGTCGGCTGGCTGAGCCTATGAATGGAGCTAAAACGCCTTGTTTATCTCAGCACGTGTGCGCACTGAGCCTGAAAGGCACCGAGCAGCCCACCCACTCCTCCCAGTCAGGCCAGCTGAAAAAGCACAGTGAAGACACAGCCAAGGAATGGGCGCGGATTCCCGTCAGTGGTTCTCACTATAACGGACAGATGAGTGGAAAAATCAAGAAGGAAAACAACCTTGCTTGGCACTATGCCCACACACACATCCCAGTGCAGTGGGGGAAAAAAGGCTGGGGGCACATCCCAGCCGTGGATCAGCTTTCTGGCCCAGGGAACGAGCAGATCTGGCAAATGTCTAAATACTGGTCACTCACAGCCCAGAAAGCACCTTCCCACAGCCCTGTGTGAGCAGGAGGCCCCACTTTTGAGCTCCCTTGCTGCAAGCAGGTGGACGCTGACCGCCACCGAGCAGCACCTCCCCACTGCACCCCCACCACAGGCACGGGCCCACCTTTTTTGAACTCCTCCAGCATGGCATCGAGCTTGGTGTCATTGAAGACAAAGTGCAGCGGGTGGTTGTAGAAGCGGGTGATGGTCTTGAGTGGCGTGCAGTCATCGGGGTCCACAAAAGCCAGGTCCTTAACGAAGAGCAAGTCCACGATGTTGGAGCGGTCACCCTCGAAAACAGGGATGCGGGTGTAACCGCTCTCCATGATCTCAGACATAGTGTTGAAGTCGAGCACAGCCTCGGCAGCGATCATAAAGCAGTCTCGGAGGGGAGTCATCACGTCCTCCACAGTCTTGGTGCGCAGTTCCAGGGCTCCTTGGATAATGTTGAGCTCCTCCTTGACTAGATCGTTATAAGGGTCGGTGACCCGCAGCATCTCCAACAACTTCTCACGGTTATAGACCGTGCCGATCTCCTGGCCCAGGACACAGTCCAGCAACTTGCTGACGGGGTAGGAGGCCGGGAAGGTCATCATCATGAAAAACTTGGTGAGGAAGATGGTGTTGGCGCCCACGGCCAGGCCGTGCCGAGAGCAAATAGCCTGCGGCACGATCTCGCCGAAGATGACGATACCGATGGTGGAGACCACCACGGCCACCAGCCCAGAGCCGGCAATGTCATCCAGCAGGATGGTAAGCGTGGTGTTGACCAGGACATTGCCCAGCAGGAGGGAGCACAGCAGGTAGTTGCCCTGACGCCGCACAGGCTCGATGCGCTTGGCGTAGTTCTTCTCTTTGTCCGTGCCACAGTTCTGCACGATGCGCAGTTCCATGGGGTCCAGGGCCATCAGGCCCAGGTTGAGGCCACTGAACATGCCCGAGAGGCACAGGAGGAGCGAGATGAAGATGACCTGCAGCCAGAAGGGCAGCAGGAACTTCTTCTCCTCGCCCACGATCATCTTGGTGTCCTCGCCGTCATGGTAGATCCAAGTGGTCTCACCCCAGGGCGGGGGTCCCGCCGGTCCCTCGGCGCCCGCCAGCCCTCCGGGAGCCCCGGGCCCCAGGGCGGCGGCGGCGGGGGCCGAGACGGAGGTGCACAGGTAGTAGGACTTGCTCTTCTCCGTTTTGCGCAGGGGCTTGATCTCGATCTCGATGATGCCCGAGGTGCGGCGGTTGAGCACGATGTGCGGCAGGATGATGATGTCCGAGGTGCGGATGCCGCAGCGCTGCGGGGCCCCGCCGCTGCCCGCCGA